TGTACAGTTACACAGCAAGTTATTAGTTAATATTAACAATAAAAAAAGTTATATGTTGTACAAAAAGTCACAAAATTCTAAGAAATTGCGTCATTATGTACACCATTGTTTTTCTAATTGAAATTAAAAAGCAGTCAAAATGACTTCCTTAAGCAATCTAGTGTTAAACATTGTAATAGGGTTATAGTTAATTTGCACTGTGTGCAATAATCGATAGTTAAACGGCAATTAGCAATTAACTATAACAATTAACATTGTGTTTGGCACCAATTACAACTTAGACCTGAACCCATTTTTCGGGGATAGAGATTCTAACTTAGAATGTCATTTCAGCAGGACTTAAAGAAATAGAAATTTTGAAATATTTCTCAGCCAAATAAAACATTATGGATTTAAATTATTAAAAAGCAAACTAACATATTTTTGAAAAAACAATTTTGCCGTGCTTTCCGATTTTAGGAAATTGCGATACCGATTTATTTTCTCTTTTTCCTTCTTTTCTTTTTCCTATTGCGTAGCGCTATTAGTGTGGTTGAGTGTGTGATTCAACCTTTTTACGTCTACCGCTATTAAGTTTAGTCATTTTTACAAATTCGTGATTTCCTGTTACAAAATCAATCAGAAGTTATAATAATAATATATTATAATAGTTCTTTGTTCTGTAATCTAACTTTACTTAAATGAGAATATAAAGAAAACATTAAATAAATATATTGTTAATGCTTTTTGAAAAATTGCAGTGGAAATGACATTTATCGTTTTTGAGTTAAAAAAATAATTGATCAAAATCGCCCTTGAAGCCCTATTTCAACAGAGAATTATCACCCAGGCTAAAAAAAGAAGAAGTAAAAAAAAGAAAACTCTGTCATATTTTTTAAGTGATAAATCATTATTTGTCATGATGCACTGGACTAGATGACGTCAGAGGCTAACAGGCAATTTGCCAAGTGTGTCGTGGAATGTTTTCTAAGATTTAAAGACTGCTGTTTGAGGAACTTAATTTATGAAGTTGTTTACTCGGTATGTTTCATCTATTTGGTGAAAGGTTCTAGATACATTTATGATTTATCATCATCAAAATTTAATAATGAAATCTGTTTCTTCTATTTTTTTTAAATGTGTAAACATTGTGTTCCTAATTCAGCAAAATTACTTATCAATGGAACTAAAAATTCAACTCATCATGCAACACATAGCTAATAAAATAATAATTTAATACATAGTTAAATAAATAAAATAAAAAATGAAAAGATTTTTCTTTTGAATTTCCAAAATTATTTATTAGTTTGTTCAATAGACTTAAATGTTTTTTAAATTTTTTCACCTGGTAAAAATTATTTTTGAAAAATTCAAAGTTCTAAACTACTAAGTTATTGCATGTTCAATCAACTTCAGGTGTGAAATAAAAATATAAAATGAAATAAAATAAAAATGTCTAAACATTAATGAACATTGTTATTTATTGTCTAAATATTAGAAATAAATGTAACTAATCCTTATTTACCTAAAATTATTCAAAACTTTATTATTTTTACTAATAATTTTGAACAAATTTTAGTGCATATTGTCATTTTTTTAATGTTTTCTTTTTAATGTCCATTGTTTAAAATATTTTCTGCACGTGATAAAATTTGACGTTATGCTTTTGATATGTGTGACCATATGTGTACTTTTTTCTTTATCATAAAAATAATAAAATCACTCAAGAAATACTTTTTATGCAAAAATAATAGAAAATATATTACTTTTCTCTTTATCGAAAATAATATATTTTTTAAAAATTATTTTTGCTCAAAAAATATATATTGAATGATTTTTATTATTTTGAATGATTAGATTTCATTACAGTAAAACTCTTAATAATTTTATATACAGATATCTTCCCTTTTCTTAACTAAATCAAAACCTTTCTTCATAAACGCATCGAAATCTTTCAGACTAATTTGATTTAAATAAGGAAGACATAGATAAAGCTTTAAATATACAAGATGATCTTACAAAGTGTTTCCAAAAATAACAACTGGCTTCCTTTAATACTTCAGCCCCTTGCCCATGTTTTGCCCACACTGACGTCATTGGCATTGAGCCAAAATATTCATAAGAGAAAGGCTGCATCTTTTTAGCAACCATCTTCATACCTGGGCGCAACACAGGGCATTTAGAAGCAATAAACGAATAAAAATAAATCCGTTATAGAGTCAATTTGGGAAAGTGCTGCTCAGGAGAAAGTGTGAGGTTCTAGCTATAAAAACAGCCTCACGCTTTTTCAAAAGAAGCTTATTGATTTTTAATATTTCTCTTATCTTTGGGAGTGCGTTGTGTTATTTTTGCTGAAATGATCGAGTCAAATTGGTTTTGAGCAGTAAAAAAGTCTTTGAGAATATCGTTGAGGTTTTATTTTTATGTTTTTTTTTGTAGTACAAATATTGAATGTTTCCTTTATTTCTTAACTGTGACAATTTTAATATTTATTAAAACAGAGGTGTTTTCGACATTTTTTTAAAAGAATTAATAGTTTATTAAGATCGGATTTTTTGTGAGATGTTTGATGCAAGAATAAAATTGATGTAAATAATAAAATAAAAATAAAATTGATCTAAATAGTAAAATAAATCTTTGAGGATATTGTTAATTTTATTTTTATATTTTATAATTTTTTTTGGGGGGGGGATTTAAATGTTTTTTTTTCTATTAAAGTAAAACAATTTTAAATGTATATAAAAAACGAAGACATGATTTTACGAAATATATGCATGCTTTCTCGATTTATAAGATATTGTTTTGAATATATGTAAAAATAGAAGAATATTTTAAGTATTTTTTTTTATTTATAGAAGTAATAATAAACCCTTTTTATTCTTCCTTTCCTTTAAAGAGTCTAGTACTAATTTTGCAAGTTTAATAATAAGCTTTTTAATTAATCATTTTACAAGACAAGATTTTTTGAAATATTTAAATGTTTTCTCGATTAATACGATATTGTTTTGAATATTTGTAAAAGTAGAAGAATATTTCCCTGATTTTTATAGAAGTAATAATAAGCAATTTTTTATTCTTTCGTTTTTTCAAACTGTCTGCTACTAATTTCGTAAGTTTAGTAATAAGTTTTTAATAAGTAATTTTGTGAGATGAGATATTTCGAAATATTTTCTCTTTTTTAAAAAAAACATAGCTCTAATTATTTGAAGACAAAAAAAAAAGAGTTATACATGATAGATTTTTAAAGAAATAATAACGTTCCTTTTCTGAAAAGGTAAAAGGCAAGATTTTTCTCTGAAATTCAACTATTTATAAATGGAAGCCAATATTTTCCAATTAAAATTTATTATTATTATTAATATTATCATTATAATTATTCCTGTAAAAAATTATATTATGGCGTCAATGGTTAGAAAGTTTATTTAAAGACAAATATTTAAAGCAAAATTTTTGTTTGCTTGTTTTGTGATGATATTCAAAGAAGTTTGGTAAAGCTAATTTCTTTTTATCAAAAAGCCCCTTCACATATATTACAAAAATTAGACTTTAATGGAATTGGCAAAAATTTATTTAGATGTCACGCTATCTTAATCAAAAATCCCCGTGTGTGAAACGAGAAAAGAATCGATATTTTGCAGCAGAAAATGACATTTCTATGATTTCAATTAATAGCCTCAATGTAAAAATGGGACTAATAAATGAATATTTTTCGATATAAAATAACATTTGCTTAATCTGAACTAATAATTTCATGTGGAAATGAAGAGGAAATTAATATTTTTCGAGATAAAATGTCATTTGCCTAATTTTAATCAAAGGTCTAAGTGAAAAGGGGGGTGGAGCGGAAAGCGTTGATCTTAAGGACACTTGATCTTAGCTTGACACTTCTGCGTGTTAGAATGACTACCTAGACAAAGTTTGTAGTGACTATTTAATTTTTAAGTCTTTATAACTCAAACAATTTTGGGAGATTGACCATTCATGCAATATATCGTCATAAATTTTTAGCCAATCTCACATCTAATCGTACACTTATTTCTTAAAGTATGAATGGGCACTTTTATGATATATGATCATTATATTTTGACGTTTAAAAGCTTTGATAATTTCCTGAAGAATAATTGCGAGAAATATTTATAAACTTGGTTGCAGACTTTGAATTCCAGCCATAATTACAAGTACCCTATTCAAAATTTAAAGTTTATTTATTCATTTTTTTTCACCCCGAAATTAGTCAACTATTGCATTAATTTTGACACGATTTGAAATATATTATTAAATGTTGAGCACAAGTATTTTTTTAATTTTTAATCCGACTCTTATTGTCTGAGATATATATGTCTCGGGCAGACAAGTCAATGGTATATATGAGACAATGCATCCCCGCTATATCAACATTTCCTAGAAGAGAGGCCTCCGCATGAATCGCTCGACGTAATAGTTCGACGTAACGAACATGAACTGCGCAGTGGAGAAAAATAAGAATGATGTCACAACGTCCAGACTACTAAACTGCGCAGTGGGGAAATTTTTTTTCCAGCGTTCGGGCTGTAAAAGAGCGAGTTTCTCGATTATGGTATCCGTGCCAATGCTTCTTTTTTCTCAATATCTTCTTTTAGGTGGTGGTTATATACGATTCTACTATGTAGTAACATATTGGGAAACTGGTATTACAATACAGCTTGGGATGTGACTTTTAATGCACGTGACCTTCAGAGGGTTATAGTTTTCAATCTTTTGTAGGACTATAATTTCCGAGGGTTTCTTTCTTTCGTTATTTTACATAAACGATGATATTTTAAATTGATATCAGAAAGAAACATTGGAAATTCTAATAAAAATTGGTAAAAAGGAGAAAAAAAAACTATCGATTTTTGGGATTTTCGGATTTATATTTAGTACCAATCAAATAATATATCAGTTATAAAGTTAGTTTGCCCGGGTATTAATCATAATTGCTTATTATCTATAAGAGATGTTATGTATCTCGTTTGATTGACATGTTCTTCTTTATATTTCAGTTTAAGAAGAGGCCCAGGAGCAAATGCTCAAGATCAAAGTGGTTACACGTCACTTCATCACGCTGCTCTGAATGGCCACAAGTAATTATTATTTAAATTACTATCATTTGCTTACAATATAAGAAAAATATGTAATCGGGAGGAAACAGTTATTGTTCATAAAAATACGCCACGGAGCTCTCAATTTTAATTAACTGTAGATATGTTCAAAACAAAATGCCTTTGTTTAAAATTTTGTGTTATTTTTTCTTTCTTCATAAATATATAGAAATGATTTTCTTTTCGCAGTTTAATCAAAGTAAAACTTTTTCCCAACCCACAGAACAAGAACAAGTTTAATTTAGAGTTTTCAATGAAGACGAGTATGTTAAGATACTTAAAACTCAGTTCCCTTGTCTTCTGAGTTAAGATGAGTAGTTGTACTGTGTTCTTCTTTACAGCTTACAAACTGATCAAATTCTGAGGTTGTAGAATCGGATAATATGTAAGATTCTATTATGTAGGTTATAGGGTTGTGTGAGATAATATGTTAGGTCTGTAGAATCGAAATGTAAAATGCAAGGTTCGCACGTTCCTCAAAAATATCTAAAGTGGTTTCTATGTTGTAATTAAAAAGCCATAGATTTCTTTCTATTAGCTTTCATCTTAAAATAACGAAACCAAACCAAATCAAACGAAAACTACTAATGAACCCAAAGATTTCGTAGCTAAATATATTTGGAGTGGTGCTGAATTCATCAAATTCCGAGGGTGTAGAACCGTATAATATGTAAGATTCTATTATGTAGGTTATAGGGTTCTGTGAGATAATATGTTAGGTCTGTAGAATCGAAATGTAATCGCACGGTGCTCAGAAATTTACTAAAGTGGTTTCAATATTGCAATAAAAAAGCTATAGATTTCTTTCTATTAGCTTTCATCTTAAAATTACGTAACCAAACCAAATCAAACGAAAATTATTAGCGACCCCAAAGATTTCGTAACTAAATATACTTATTTGGAGATTTAAAACGTGGTGCTGAAGAATAATTAGCTAAAATGCATTTTTTTAATTTTTTTTAAGAACCTTTCAACCTCCGATCACTTTATATGACAATATGTATTAATGAAAATTAGCCAACGCTTCTAAAGTTCATGAGAAAATGGCAACTGAATTTATATTGTCACACCACTATATTATTTCTCTACTTTTTACTTATGGACAAAGATTTAACTATATATTTGCTTTAAAAGTCGAGCTGGATGAAAATATGTATATATATGTAACTCACGTACTGAAAAACAACAGAATAATTAATTCACTAAAATATTTGACCCCTAATTAAAATGAACAATAGGATTTTACATACTTTTCTGCTGTCATGAAAAGATTAGATAATTGCCAAAGATGAGCCTTATCGAAATTGATAAACATGTTAAACTGCTTCTTGCGAAACTACATTTACTGCAATTTATTTAAAGATATCGGAGATATTTGAACTGGCATTTCTCTTCTATAGCCATCTAACCTAAACTGACCCTACATATATTTATAACACTATTATTCTGTCTTTGAAAGTTTTGTATAGTTTTAATTTCATTTTGTTTTTTGAGGAGGCATAAATAATTACTAATTAATTTTATAAAAAAAAATAATTAAATTTACATTACTATGTTTGATATTTTATTCAATTTCTACTTTTTGGAAATGAAAAAGGCTGTAATGAGCTGCTAAATCTCCTCACGATATCATTACTCTTTTTGATTGTTAGCAATAAACAAATTAGTAGTCTTTGTTTTATATTATTTTTAAAATTTTCTAAATTTGTTTTTATTTATTGAGTGTAAGTTATTTTTTATTAAATATATTCGTTTTTTTTATTATTCATACTAATCCAGCTTATTTAATAATCTGAAAAACAATATTTTCTGGGTATTTTGGTACTATTCATAGCTGAAATATTAACTCACATCATTGTTTTCTAGTATTTGCACAATTTAATAACGCAAAATACAAATAAATTTTTTATAAATATTAACGAATAAAAGATAAATGTTTTATTTTCTGCATTCGGTTTTAAACTCAAATTATCGACATTAAAATAGATTGAGATTAAGGGGGGAAAAACTCAAACTCTAATGATATTTATTGAAATTTTTCAATTTTTTTTTAAACAGCTGCATGATTAATCACTTACTAGGCTTCGCGTCTTCTCTTACGTGTATTTTTTTAAAATTATTTCTAAAAAAATTCATTAAAAAAATTCATTTTCTTTTATTATCATTTTTATTTCTTTCATACATTCTAAACTTTCAAATATTCTAAATAGGGAGATCGTTTCGTTGTTGCTGCAATACGAGGCCTCCACCAATGTTGTCGATCACAAGGGATCAACACCACTCCATCTGGCGGCCTGGACTGGAAACATCGACATCGTTCGATTGTTACTGGAGCAAGGACCATCGGTCCCTAACGTAAATCTAGCAGTAAGTGTGTACTCAAACCTATCTCCTCGACATTAGTTCAATATATTATTTCTTATTCATCAATTACGAACGAACACGAAACTGATTACATCTCTATTTGAGAGAAAGTACCAGCGTTTTGAGAAATAAAGGTGAAAGGTTATTGATTGAGTTGTAAAGAATGTTTCTGTTTTGTTATTATTATTTTTCCTATCTGTTAGCTTTCTCCGCTGATGTGCACTGAGGCGTTACTTGAAGGTCAGAAATGATTATTCAAGGTTTACATTCTTGTGTTTTTTTTATTTGCTTAAATTTTTTTTCTTTTAGTATCTTCGCTACGAGAGGGAAATTATCTTCGCCCATAAAATAATTATCTTATGGCCTGGAGTCCGAGTTCTTTCATCCGTGTAGCAAAAAAGCACCGTAATTCACAATTAACTAGAGGATAACTGTAACTGTGCTTGAGACTCTTTTAGTGAAAGTGATTAAGAAATGAGATAAAGACTGTTTCTTCCGTTTGGCACGCTAGGGTTTTTGAGATGTGGAGATAAAGCTGGCGTTTCTCACGCTTCTATGCCATTTTTCTTTATTTTTGTTAGATAACTACATTTTTATTGTGATTCATTTCTTGAAGCTTTTATATCTTTCAAAAATATTTCATTTTTTCTTTAATGCTGTAGCGTATAAAACAGCTTTCCTGTTATTTTATCTGTTTTACTTACCGTTTTGAGGTTGCTGTAATAGTTCACCAATGCTTATGTGAGAATGATGTATAAATTTTTTTTTTACTTGCAGTATTTGATATCGTTTCATTGTTTTCTGTTTTATTATGATATTAAATGCTTCAAAAAAGCTGTTGAATTTACTACCATAATGAAACTGTTAAATACTTATGGCATTTCCTTTATGTTAAAGCATTTTAAATTCTTTAAAAATATGATTTTCTCAAAAATTTTTGTTGAAAATCGCGGTTGAATTTGCTGCCATACTGAAACTGTTAAACATTTATGGCACTTCCTAAAGGCATTTACGGCATTTTTGTTGCGGCATTTTCAAAAATTTGATTTTCTCAAAATTTTTTAACGCCTTAAAATATTAAAATATTGTACTTTTTTTAACATTGAAAACAGTTTTGCAATAGTCTATTATTAAATAATAAAAATTTACACGGTTTAGGAGTTTTTTTCGTTAGTTGACCAATCATAATGAATTCATGGAATAATTTATACCCGTATCAATTAGCTTAATATTCACGAAAGTTAGAAAGAAAAGATTCTTGTTATTTATCATAGTTTTTTTTTTTTTTTAGATATCAGTAAATTGATTTTAAAAACTCAAGAAAACAAATAATCAACTTATTGATAGTAGTATAAAAAACGAAGAAAAAAAAACAATTATTTCTTTTAAATTTAAAAAAAAAAAAACCAATTTTGAAATTACTTTTGTTAAAAAAAATTAATATGAGATTTTTAATGATAATAAAAAAATAACCAACATTTCAAACGTCAGTTTCTAGTAAAATTTAACTGTTCAGCGTTTAAAGCGCCAGAATGCCTCCTGATTGATTGATTGATTTAATTGAATGATTGGAAGCTTTAGTTTCTCTTAAAACTAGAGCAAGCTGTATGCATCCATCCAATTTTCTTACCATGCTTGTTCTATAACGCATCGAAATCGGTTCAAATTTATGCATATAACATCATTCAGTTACAATGATATATACCTCACGCAAAATAATGCTTCAGATTAAAATTCAGAGAGTTTAGGGATATTCATCATCATCTTCATTGGCGCGACAGCCCGCGATGGGCCCTGGCCTTCTCGAGGATTCTCTTTTATCTTGCTTTGTTCTTAACAAAGGTTTTCCTCGCGTCCGGCTCGCACCGACCACAATGCTGACGTAAAATATCCTCAGTGGTAGACGAATCATGGCAGGCAAGGGGACTTTAACCCATGATTAACCATGAGACCTTTAAGCCATGACATGTTTTAAATAGTTTTTCTTTCCCCGTACCGTAAATGCGGGTTATATTAATCAACGAGTCCTCCACGAAGGTAAATTTTTCCCTATACTTGATCCAGGAGTTGCCTCATCTTCTGGATTGGGTTCAAAACTACAAGGTTACGGAGTTTAACATAGGTAGTTGTAAGTTCAAAATTGGGTCGGCTGTTCAACGATGGTTATAAGAAATAAATAAATAAAATAAAATTCAGTACAAGTAAGTTCTTATTTAGATAATCGAATCGTCTGAATTGAGTTTTCCCCGAATCGTCTGAATTGAGTTTTCCCCTTGGCCGTTGATTGATTATTAGTTAGCCTAGTCATAAAAATCCTTCTAAATGTTGATTCATCTGGTGAGATGCATATTCTTCTTTTAGCCGAAAATCAGATAGATTCTCTTCGCGTTAAGTTGACCAATTTTTCCTGTTTATGAAAAAACACTATCTTTCTTAATATCAATAACATTTATTTCCCTTCACAGTTTTGAAATAGAACAAAAGATTGTTTTCCAAAAATGAAAAAAAAAAATTTTTTTTTTAAATTACAATTTTACAAATTTTAATTTTCTTAATAAATAATTCCCGTGTCACAAAAAAAGCTCTTCTAAGAAATAAGTAGAAAAAGCTGGAAATTGTTTAAAAAATTGTGATTTGGGCTCAATATCGATCTGTAAAGTTTTTTCTCACTCCCAAAGTTAGTTTAATTTTTAATTTATTGTGCAAGGTAGGGGGTTGAAAGAAGGAAGAACTTTTTTTTCTCGATATATGGGTGATTCTCACGAAATATGACCATTCACTGTCCCTTGCTCCAAGATCTAATACTATAATACTAAAAGAACTTTTTTTTAAAAAGAAAATTAATAAATTTCATTGCTGTTAGCATTTTAAAATGACTTTGCACTAGCATTGACTGTTTTGTAGTGCTAAAAAATTTAATTGAACTTCACAATTTCACATTTTTGGCATGTCCCATACAATGTTTCCAATAATAACTAGCTTCAAAACTTCCCATAAATTTAATAATATCTAAATTTTTTTTATCTCAACCGGTGTAAGCATTTCTAGAATACACACAGAGGGTATTATTTACAAAAACTTCGTTTAAAATAATTTTTTATGTCAATAATTTGTTTGTCCCAAGAAAATCTGTCATTTTCCTGGCTTCTTTTATTTAGTGGTTTGTAACCAAAATAGTAGAGCCAGCCATCAATATCTTATGTAAATGGATTGATTATATACCCTCCTATATGAATATGTCTTGTTGCATAAATAAAGAACCAATTTTCTGGTTCAAAATCTATTTCAAAAAATTTTTCAAGATGAGTAGGTTTTTGTGTTGTCATTTTCCTGATTTCTTGAAATCATTAATAACATAAACTACATAGAATTATCTGAATTATTTTAAGAAATCCTGTTGTTTTCTGCAGAATGTAAGCGTCTTGGGCCAAAATATTAAATTAAAGTTATATACTATAAAATGGCGAATTTGTCATTATCCTGGCTGTCATTTTCTTATGAATTTGTCATTGTCTTATGAATTCCAGGACATTGAAGTATTACCAGAAATTTTTTTTAACTGCTAATACTGAAGAAGGAAAAGCAAATATTAACCTAATACCAAGTTTATGTATGATTGTAATATGGTTGGATGTAATCAAAGTTATTTATTTATTTAATGATTGATTATTATACACAATTTTATTCTGTACATATCAGGAACAAAATATTTTTTGATTCTTTCTACAGTGTATAAAAAGAATTAATTTAAGCAATTAATGGTCCATCTAACATAAAGGCTTAAGTTGAGTTACTTACTATTAACTTAAAATGACTGTTTTTTAAACTTCTAAGGTAATATGTCATTTTCCTGGCATTCAAGATTTGGTGAATTTCTATTTTTGTCTCTCGACCAAATGTCAATAAACTACACTGCTGTCTGTAAGATATTAATAAGTGTAACTAAATAATTATACAAAAAAGTTTTTAGATTATTTTGAAAACTTTAAATTTGAAGAAATTTTGTGGTCTGAATTGTCATGTTTAAAAAGAATCACGCATATATGGTTTTTCAGTTGTTCTATCAAATGTAAAACAATAATAAATAGGAACAAAATATATATCAAATATATATATTGTTCAAACATATCAAAAACGTTCAAATCCGATAAATTGAATTTGTTAAAACTTAAATCATTGTAGCAACATTCATTTGAATAATATTTTTTATTTACTATATTGTAAATATTTTTCTAAATAATTTTCAGAAGATCAACAAATCCCTTTTTTTTTTAACCTATAGGACCTAACTTTTAAGAAACCTGAATCAGAGTAGAGCAAATTTTTCCGACCTTTTCAAAATTTTAATTAACTCTACACCACTGATTTTAAATGATAAGAGCTAATTTCAATTACAAGTGATTTCAAGATGGTGCTTAAAATCCCTTCGGCATTTACAAATTAAGGAGGTTTGACAACAGCATTTTTCACTAAGTTATAATGTACCTAACACACTTTTTCAATTTTTTAAGTTAATGTTAAATATCACGAAAAAAAATCCACCAATTAAATTATAGTTTCGTAAAAAAAAATAATTCTAAAGAGTTTTATTTTACTTTTATTTTTGATATGCCACTGTACTTTTAGCGTAGCAAAATGGCTATAAAGCTCTTTGATTGAAAAGTATTTTGCTTTTTGGGTACTAATAGAATAAATAGTAATAATGAAAGCAATAATAAAAACCTGTATGGCCAATTATTCAAAGTTACTGTGTTTTTACGATCTTTATATTTAGTAGCTTAAATATTTTCCTTCAACTTTTGGCAACTATCAGGTTTGAAAAAATGATAATACAGGATAGAGATCCTATCACGGAAATATATCATTTTTGTGATGGTCATTTTTTAAAAAAAAGAAGTTTTTTAACGGTGATTATTACTGTTTCAAAGTAGTTTCTACACTCATTTATGATGCCAAATACTAGGATATATTCAAAACACAAAGCGAACAATGTAAGATGTCGTAGGTAATTTTTGAGTTGGCAAGCAGACGAATTAAATTATTTATTTATTATTACTTAAATGACATAATTGCCGGATTTTCTGGAAGATTTCATTTTTATATTTAAAGTTATAGAATAATCATCTTTTATATTTCATTCTTAAATTAGTTAGTCTAATTTTGAATCATTTTATCTACTTTCAAATCAGAATAAATAAATAAATATATATATATTTTATAATGCGTATATAAATATATATGTATATATTAAATAGTCAAGTATAAAAGGACGTTACTAAGTAGAAATATTTTCGCGAGTGAATATTTCAATTGAATATATTTCTAAACATAATTCCTTACCCACATTATTTTCTGTTTTTAATTTTCTTGTAGAAGATGACTGTATAAAAAAAAAGAGTCTCACTTCAAAAAAAAAGAAAAAAAAAGGATAATAGAACATTTTTATTTATTCTTAATTTTGTTTCAGAATCACGACCGGGAAACGCCTCTGCATTCCGCTGCTCAGTATGGCCACACCGAGGTTGTGTCTCTTCTGCTCAAGGTAAAAGTTCTTATTTAAAAATTATAACATTTATAATACTTTTTTTTTTTTGGGTGATCTTAAAAAAAATAAGCCACGGTTTGCGTGTCTCGGACTTGCGCGGACGAAGCTTTAATTTTGAACTATTTATGCTGTTTTGTTGAAAAGAATTATCCGTACTTGAAGTGGGAGAAATGCGTTAAATATTTTTAGAAATAAAAAACAGTTATTAAAAATTTTATTGGAATTTTCCCATCTAAATGAAAACAATTTACACTAAAAAGTTAGTATGTACCTATCTTGCCCAAAAGCAGTCAAAATTACTGCATTGTGAAAGAATAACTAACGTGTAAAGAAATTTGTTTAATTAATTTTTAATATTTATTATGTTATTTACAGTTGTATAACAAGTTATTGGTAAATATTAACAATAAAGAAATTTACTTCACTTGGAAAGAAGATATTAATTTAAGTATTATTATTTGTACATTTTTTGCAAATGAAAAAGCTGTTAAAATGCATTTAAAAAGCTTCTAGCAACCCAATAACTTCTAATAACTTTACCCAACCTAGTGTTAAAATAAATAAACAATTGTCTTTTGCACGTTTTTATGAGTTCAAATGGTGGAGCAACTCCCCGATTATTAAAAAATTTGATCACAGATATTCACAATAACTGCGACTTTTCTTGCGTCCTTCATAATCAGCGAAGAATCGGGGTAAAGATGAACAAAACTCAACCTAATAGTCATAGTTAACTGTTACTATTTCTCAACAATTTAAAAAAAAATCTAATTATTCACTAAAAAGCTTCATTTTGTACACCTTCGAAGTAGTAGTAGTTTATTTTTTGTCGCACTAAAGCTGCACAAAGGCTATTGGCAACTGTCTGGGAAACATCCCTGAGTATGATTCATGTAGGGGAGAGGGGGGCACATGTGAACATGGTATGTTTTACCAATATGATTTGAAATGAAAAATCTCGAAAAATTTTCAATTGATGGCAGTACTAGTCCTACCTCTCTGAGAAACTTTCAGAACAATGAGACATTTTGTTGGTCTATTCTGACAATTTCTTTGTATCAGCTGGTGTTGCATATATTATAATCGCTCGCTTCTCCAAGTGAAAGCATAATATAAATCAACTAATAAACTAAAATTAACTATTGCAGATCATTATATGAACATTCAGGTAAGTTTATGACAATTATTCTTTTTTTTTACTCAATTAAAAGTTCTTTATTTTTCAAGTTAGGTTTAAGAAGGATGATGGGGCACTTGTGAACAAAACATCTGGGGCAGATGTGAACAGTTCACAAGTACCCCTACATAGTATTAAGATTATTATCCTCATGATATTATAAGTTTAAAAAATTTGTGTGCATTTAAAATTATTATTATTTAATTTTCCATAATTAATTCATTAATTTTTCCTTAAAATTTTTTTTTTTTATTGAATGATTGATCACGCATATTAGCTGATACAAACTGAGAAATAGAATTGCTAAAGCTACAAATGAAAAGATAGAAAAAATGAAAAAAAAGCGTGAAAGAGTATTACAGAAGAAAGAAAAAGGCCCATTACAACTCCCGTGGAACATGAAGTTGCGAAAAACCCAATAACGGAAAAATTATTGTACAGCTGAAAAATTATTTTCTTATTGACAGTACTGTTGTACAATTTAAATTCACATAGTAAGCTACAATCCCCTCAGTATAATGCGTATCTATATCTGTTATATTAAAGATTTTTTTTCTTTGGAATATGATGATTGCTTTGTGTTTTTAATCTTGTTCATGTGTGTCCCAGGCATGTTCACATGTGCCCCCAATAGGGGCACATGTGAACAATTGAAGTCATTTTTCTAAACAATTATAAAGTAAAGAAATATTTTACTGAAAAATCTCAAAAAATTCCATAAGACAAAGAAAAGACTATTTAAACGCATGGACTTCTTAACTATGAAAAATTAATGATATTTTTTGAAAAATGAAGAAATAACAAAATTTGTTCACATGTGCCCCCCTCTCCCCTACGTCTTCGAAGAACAGCCTTATAAAAGATATTGAAACATTGGATGCCGTTCCTTTTTGTATGCGAAAGTGGTTAGTAATACTATTTTTTGGTTATCTCAAATAGTTGGTTAAATGCTGTAACCTGAGAGAAAATTAAAATTTAAATACGCAATTATACATTATTCAACCCTGTACCTCACTAGTGGTAATGTAATGCTTTTCACCTCTCTAATAAGCTAATTTCATATATTTATATAGTCTCCCGCAGTGGACTGATCGTTAAGACACGGTTCCCTGAGGATCACCGAAGCCAAGTATCACTGAATGCGGTCATAGTGCAGGTGGGTGACCACTTGGACTGCGTAGGGACCAAGGGTGTGCGGTATTGGACCTCGTTAAACTGTTCTACCTTAAAGTGCTCGACTTTGCATGCTGATCGTCGGGCTACCGAAGCGGGAGTGCTATCCCCTCTGCAGAGGATCAAAATTGTGATGGCATGTCTTCGGATCAACCTCAGGGATGTTTCTCGACCATCGCCAATAGCCCATTGTGCAGCTCTAGCGTTACGTAAATGAACTACAACTACAACATATGCTAATATAATACCCTACCTGTTAATTTAATCAGTTGTCTATTAAACTAGTTGGTGTTTTATCCAAACAGGAACTTTTATGAGAAGAACTCTCAATTAAGCTTTCAAATTTTTCTTTTTTTATAATTTGGCGCACAGTATGAAAAACACTCATAGGGAATTGAGATTAACATACCTATCGTGTTTCCTTCAGTAAAAACTATTCGCTTTACACTGAAATGCCAATGAATGAGGAATAGATAATGCTTTGCAAATTGTGTAGCGTTACGCCGAATTTATGAACACGTGAAAGCGCTGTGGTAAAACTTTATATACAGTTAGTAATGTAGCTGTTATTCAGTTGTTTCAATAGCCACTGTGGGTGCAACTTCTCAATTAGAGACCTTCGATTGCGGACTAACAGTATTTGCTCAATACATGGGCAGTTTTGATTTCCGAAAGTGTCGAAGAACTTTGATTTTAAAAGTCAATAGTTTCAAAAGCATACCAAGAATGCATGCACGGTGAGAAAAAAGCTATCTGCTGTTAGCTGTTTTTTTTTTAAAAAAAAAAACCTTGCAAACTACGGAACGACGAGGATTTGAAACTTCCAGTTTCCTTCTAGGGCTCAAGCTGTTTCACCTAATTTTTTTCCTTCTGTGTCTTCTACTTTCACATTTTTTTGAACTTTTAACGTGTAAGCGTCATTTACAAACGAAATTCCGTTTTCGTCTTTTTACTTCAACTCTATCCTTCCAAATTTAGTGATTAATTGCTTTATAATAGAATCTATTGCAGTGGAATGTATCTTTGACTCTATAAAGAGTTTCTTAACAAATTATCGCATTCAGATGGCAAATATTTTATCAGTTGAAAGCATAGTATATTTTATAGTTTTGAAGGCATTTTGAAACCAACATCTTCAATCTGCTTATTCTTCTTCGTAATTCTTTTGATGTATTCGGATCCTTTTTTCGTCAGATGAAAATCTTATGTTCAAAAAATCATCCATAAAACTGGCCATAAGAGCTCTTGACGAAATTTGATATCAGAGTTTACCAAGCTGTCTTGCTGTCTTCAGTATCAGCATTTAGGGATTGATATTATCTTTCGATTCCCATGTAGATTGTCGTAAAGAATAGCAAAAAGTTGAAAGTAGAAGACTTTTCCAAGTAGATAGACATATTTGTTTTTCTTAGCTGCTGTAGTCGCGCAGTGGACTGATCGTAAAGGCGCGGTTATCAGTAAAACGCCGAAGTCAAGAATCACTGATTGTGGTCAGTATGCAAGTGGGTGACTTCTTTGATCAGCCTGCAAAGGTCCTCGGCATCAGTCCTCGTTAAACTGTTCTATCTTAAAGTTATCGACTTCTCGCACAGGTCGTGGTGCTACCAAAGCGGGGGGGGGGGGCATCCCTTCTGCAGAGCAGCAAATGATCAAAATTGCGCTGGCATATGTTCGGATCATCCTTAGGGGTATTTTTCAGACTGTGGCCAATAGCCCATTTTACAGCTCTAGTGCGACGCAAATAAACTAAAGCTCAACAACTTAGCTGCTGTATTGTCAAAAAAAATTTTTTTACTAATAATAAATTCCTATCATCCTTTTTCCATGAGCAGAATTTTCATGTTAATTTTCCAGCTTGCTTAGTTAAAATTTTAGAGCTTTGGAAAGGCTATAACTGCTCCATCCGTAGAATTGGCAAAATTTGAACTTTTAATTCCACTTTTTACTCGTAACTAGACTAATTCCATCTTCTAGACCAAAGGTTTGCTGGTTCATGGCCCATAACCGATCTTTTACGGTGACAGAGTACTTACGGTAAATGTTGAGCAAATCTGAATAGTCATATATATATAGTACCATCTTGATAGAGCAGACGACTGAAAAATATTTAATTAAGCACAGCTTAAACATTAAAACATGACATCTTCCATCAAGTGGACATGACAGCATAGTGACGCTCACGTTATCTGAAAAACAAAAATTCCTATCGCCATCGTACGGCAACCTTCATTTTGTCAATTCAATATGCTCATTGGAGTAACAGAACACTGCAACGTTATTGATGATGAGACAACTAGTCTTGATCTAGCTTGATTTAAAATAGCTCCGGTGTATTGTATATAGTCAGCTCAGATCTCAAGAACCACCCTATGATTAACAGAAGATAGTGTTAGTTCCCACGGTGCTCTCACATGCCCGTGAAAAAGCCGCAGCGCTACACAATGTGTAAAACATTGTCTCTCTCTAATTCAGTAGCACTCCAGTGCCCCTGTGGCAGAATTTTTTAGAGCTTTCTGCGACAATTTTATCTACTACTATTACCTTTCTGAGAGACATTTTTAATAATAGCAAATATATATATGTTACTAATTTAAAGTAACAAAAGCGCTTTCTATTTACAAAGAAAAAAAAAGCTTTCATGTAAAGAACAGAACAGTATATGTATATATTTTTTTAATTATGAATGTAAGATTTTTTTAGAAATCTAAATATAAAAGAATACATATTCTAATATTATTGGCGATCTGTTCTAAGCGATATTTGTATAGTTAACCTGTTTTAAATTTTTGCTATCTGGAAATTACTTTTTATAATATGAATCTGAAATTCTAGCTAAAGCAAATCATTGCGGAATTTTTTTATTTTCAAAAGAAAAGAAAAAAATTCACGAGTGATTTTCCACCTCCGATATGAGAGAAAGGCATTTTTTGAATATAGTTCTGCAGAAAGGGGGGGGGGAAGTTCTGTAGGAAAAAAAATATTTTGAAAAATTCTGCAGATAAAAAAACCCAAACTTCTTTGCTTCCCGAATAAAAAATCTTTCTGCAGGAACTATGTAATGTTCTGCAATAATGACGCCGTGTCGCCACGATTTTGTGCATCTATGAAGTATACAGGGTGTCCCAAAAGGTCGTTTACAAACTTAACATGCTGGTCTGTCATATCATGATATAGGTAGTTTGAGAGTTTTATTTGTAAAGTTTTCGCTCTCACCTGTAAACAATTATAAATGCAACCTAATTTATTCTTGACCCGAAAAGTTCTCCTCAGAGAAATTTANTTACATCACAGCAAATGCTCAAAATTCCTTCCATTCGCCACAATGCACGTTTCACAGCGTCGGCGCATGGATTCACGAACCCGTTCTAATTGGCCAGGAGTGTCACGGACACGTGCTACCGCTTCAGCGATCCTGGCGATAAGATCCATGTCCGATGCTACAGGTGTCTCGTACACTATGAACTTCATGTGTCCCCACAGGTAGAAATCCAGGGGAGTCAGGTCGGGGGATCGCGGCGGCCATGGGACTGGTCCGCCTCTACCGATCCAGCGATTAGAATAAATCCTATCGAGGCATTCTCGAACAGCGTAGCTAAAGTGGGCAGGCGCTCCATCATGCTGAAACCAGATGTTTCGGCGTGTAGCGGCTGGAATGTCACCCATCAGATCCGGCAAAACTCTTTCTGAAAAATGCGATAGGTATTTCCGTCGAGGCGTTCCGGTAGAAGGTAAGGGCCAATCACATGTCACCGATAATACCTGCCCAAACGTTTACGCTGAAACGTTGTTGATGTGCATGGGCACGTGTACATCTTGGGTTTTCATACGCCCATACGTGCATGTTGTGCAGGTTCACAACACCATCCCGTGTAAAGCAGGATTCATCAGAAAACAAAATCCATGATGGAAAATCTGGCTGTGCGACCCGCTGTTGCAAATACCAGCGTGAGAATGCAATGCGTTTGGGATAATCGTCAGCGCACAATGCCTGTACTTTTTGGAAGTGGTAAGGGTGTTGCATGTCATCGTGCAGTATGCGCATTATGGTGGAACGAGCTACACCCAAGACACGTTCGCCTTCTCTGCGGGTTGATGGCATATCCTGTAGCACGGTTTCCTCTACGACAGGTGTGCGTGTAGCACGTTCTCGACCGATGTGGCTACGTGCTACGAAAGCACCTGATTCACATAATCTGCGGTGCAATCGTCCAAACAAAACATGACTTGGCAGACGTCTGTTTGGGAAGCGCTCAAGGTACGNTCAACAACACAAATGAAGCTATAATGGTAAATCGTCTGCTGAATTTATGTTTAAAAATATCAAACTTTCGATTAAAATCGTCTGCGGTCGCCTAGCAACACTTACTGTTGCCAAGGCCAGAAATATAAATAGCAACCCTCGTATAATAATGGAAATAAATTAAGTGTACAAAATATTCCATAATGCTTACCCTTCATTTATAAATGTTTAAAATCTTTGTCAAAAGCAATGGTCACAAACTTATGTTTATATAAGAAAAAGAATATTCAGGCTGATCATTATTGAGGTCAATTGTTGTGAATGGGGATTAAAAGCAACGGCTCTATGATGAAGCTCATGGACTAAGTTGTGCTTTCTGTTTCTCACAATCAAACTAATTTTAGCATTCGTCGCCATCATTATGATAGATCCTCAAAAAGAATACATTTAATTTCAATACATTCAATTTTGACGTAATGCTCAAAATACACATTGGACATCGTATATTTTATCAGGTTTCATATGGAATCTGATGTTACTATTGAAGATTATTATAATTTTGTAGATTATAATATAATGTTACAATTTTTTTGTTGTTGAACTCCCCTTCTCGCTTTTGTCCTCACCATATAGCCATAAATTCAGAATTGGATCGACCTTTAAATGCCAGTTAAAAAATGAAGCAAAGTACTTGACTTTTTGAGCTGCTCTATCCCCTGGGCATATAGCGTTTGCCTCCTAATGAGTTGACCCAGGTTCGAATCCCATCGGCAACTGGTTGATACGATTTCTGCTCTCGGATCACATCGACCACAATGCTGGCATAAAACATCGTCAATGGTAGACGGAGCATGGCTTAGAATCCCTTTACCGTCGGGATAACCATGGGAAGTTTTCGTGGTTTTCCTTACCATGTAACACAAATGGGAGTTGGTTTCATCAAAAAGTCCAATACCCTACTTTAGTTTGTTCCAATGCTTGATCCAGAAATTACTTGTCTTCTGGGTTGTGTTGAAAATATAAGGCTACGGAGATGAACACTAAAAGTTTTGGTATTTTGTTATTATAAAATAAAGAAATTTTTTATGCAATAACTATTACAGATTACTTTAATGTAGAAAGATAAATTTATATTTATAATTTTCATAAAGCATAAAAAAGCAAGTCATGTATACTGTCCTGCAATTGAGAAAATAACGTGCTGTAGATTTGGAGAAAAATGGCTTGGCAACTGTTTTCTTTCTATTGCTAATGCTATAAACTCTAAAATAGAACGCTGATAAAACAAAATTTAATTTTGAAAATTTTTTTTGCAATAATTAGCTTATCACAAAAAAATGCCAAAAATATAAAAATCTCAATTTTGAATTTTTTTTTCGCATACGTTGATTTTTCTATCGCGCGGCTGTCTACCTTTTTTATTATTTTTTTTTAAAATTCACAATTTTGGAAAATTGCTAAATAAATAATTATCCTTTACTTTTAGGCTGAAAGTGGTAGTGCTCTTCACGAGGCAGCTTTGTATGGAAAAGTAGAGGTTGTTAAATTGTTATTAGATTATGGTAAGTAGGAATATCATCTTCCTTTCAAGTATCTTTAACAATAGATATGCACAATGACGTGATTTAGTATTCTTTTTTTTAATGCACATCTATAAATTCAAGCAATGTGTTTTGTTTTCTTCTAGGTATTGATGTAAATTTAGAGAATAATATGAAAAGGACTGTGTTCGATCTTTTAGAAGATTTAAACACTGCCATTTCCAAGCAAATATCTAGAATAATAAGAGGTGAGTAAAGTTTTATTACATTTCCTCATTTCTTCTTTTAAAGTTTAAGGATGATTTTTAAAATACATTGTTAGGCCTCACCTGTTATTCTACTTCAAAATCTGTTTTATACACAATTTCCAATTCCGTTCAAAGGATGTAGAGCACTACGAAGGATGATTATTACGGGGTGTTCTCTAATCATTAACCTTTTATTAAATACTTATCAAAGATGTTGACACTAAGAAAGTACGTAAGTAAATAAGTAAAAAAAGTAAACAAAAGCAAAAAATATTTAAAAAAACTTTTTGAAAGTTTATCGAATTATTATCGGATCAATCTACAAAAATACAGCTAAAATTAACAAAACTTATTTATTTGACGCATGAAAGAAAAAAGATGTTTAATAGATTTTATTGTGTAGATGACAATGACACTGTGTAGATGACCATGATTAACTATAGCAAGGGGCAAAATAAGAATTATCGCTAATTGGTTGATAATTTTATGACCAGTTTTAATGAGTTTGTTTAAGTTTGGTTTATTTATATGGGTTAATTCTCAAATTCGTTTTTAAATATTTAATTGTGACTAGCATTATGTATATAATTAACACGTTTTCGACAATAATTTTTTATACCATTCACCATTTTTTTTCAACCACAATCTACTTTCCAATTTTATATCTTATTTTGTAACCGTCGTTGAACAGCCGACCCAATTTTTAGTTTACGGCAACCAATGTTCTGATCCGAAGCTTTGTGGTTTCGAATCCTATCTAGAATACAAGGAAACTCTTGGATCAAGTATTGGGAGAAATTTGCCTCCTCGGAGGACTTTTTCATGGAACTAACCCGCGTTTGCGTTACAAGAAGAGAAAAATCACGAAAACCTCTCGTGATTAGACTGTTTTCGAAGGTACTCTAACCCATGAACCGTCTATCACTAAGGATATGTTATGCCAGCACTGTGGTTCAACCATTGCTGAATTCGGATGCAGGTCACCTCATTGAGAGGCTAGTGCTCTATCCCCTGAGCTACCATAGCTCCTACTTCTACAGAGAAAGAAGACATAAATTCTAAACGTTCCTCAATAGTGTGGTGATAAAGGTAAAGAAAACAGTCAAATCCAATCTAATAATAAATGGACAAATATTTTGTACAATTGCTGCAAATATATACTGTAGAAAATATTCAATTTAGATAGGAATTGTTTTGGATCATTTTAGGATATCTTATCGATATGAAGTGTACTTTTACAGTTTATAAAAAAAAACTGAAATAATTTATTTAAATTTTTTTTCCGTTCAGATCATACGACAGCAGTGGGGAGGGTTGAGGACAGCAGCAGCAAGTCTCCCTACTCCACGTCACCTCCTTCTAGTTTCAGCTCGGTCTCGACCTTCGTTCCTACTCCAGAAAAACAGAACTCCCTTCTTCCTCTAGTCAGAAGTGGTTCTCCTATGTCCGAGGCCACTGACACTATCTGTTCCTACAACAGCAGCAAGCGATCTTCCACGTAAGTTGCAATTTACCTATTAAGAACGATTTTTTTCTTTACAAAAATTTGCAAAATATTTGATTTTGGTATTTATGAAAATGTAACTTATATTGAATTAAGTGAATGAAAAATAGATTATATATAATAGATAGAAAATAGAGTTTGAAAAGATTAGGTATTTTGAACTTCCGAGAAAGAGAAGAAACTTTTTAAATGCTTATAAACTTCAGTGGAAGTAACACTGAAAGAACACGTAAAACTTCTAAAGGAAATAGCATTGAAAAGTTAAACTTCCCGAATATTAGTGAAGCTTCTCAGTAACTAACGTGGAAAACATAGTCGATGTCTTCTAAAAGAATTAACATTGAAAGGATAAATATCTCGAATAATGAAGTTTCTGAGTAAATAACGTGAAAAACATAGTCGATGTAAAATTTCGAAAGGAAACAACATTGAAAAGTTAAACTTCTCGAATATTCGTGAAACTTCTCAGTAACTAACGTGGAAAACATAGTCGATGTCTTCTAAAGGAATTAACATTGAAAGGATAAATTTCTCGAATATTGAAGCTTCGGGAGAAAATAACATGGGAAACATAGTCTTTGTAAAGCTTCGTAAGATGTGATATTGAATTCATAAACTTATAGTACCTTATTGAAACTTTTGAGTAAATAACATGGAAAGCATAACTTTTCATTCTTGTGAGAAAGGGAAGTTTGTAAATCCTTGTAAAACTTAATATTATCTGACTAAATTAAAACTTGTTCAGAACGTGCTGAAAAAAATTTAGATACATGGCATCATTCTCATGGTAATTCGTTTCTTTTCGGGTAGTTTAGATATGGTATTTATAAAGCACTACAAGATTTATAATTTAAAAACTATAATAGATCATAGTTTTTGCCATAGTTTCGTTTTGCATTTTTATAGAGGTTTTATTTTAATACATATTAATGGAGATTCTTGTTCTCAGGGCCAGCGATACTCTCCGGAAGTCGCAGGGTTCCAGTTCCGAGCACCTGTCTATGAGCAGCCGAAGTCCATCGGTGTATGAGACTCCGCCTCTTCCGAAGGACTACGACGCAGCTTCTGTACACTCATCGTCAATGTATGAACCCCACATCATGACTTCTTCTACAGACATCCAAGGACTGACCACTTTCTCTCCTCCAGGTATGCTTTTGAAAACACCATTCTTTAACCTATAAGAATAAGTTCTCATGAGATACTCAGAGATATGATTGCTTCAAGAATTATGTAATTAATCAATTTAGTGAATCTAATATCAACACGGATTAGCAGACTATGTTTTCAATATTTTGAAACAGCTTATTAAGTCATTATTTTCATATCTGAGAAAATTTAATTTATGAAAAATATAACTTAATCCAGGTCTGGATTATAATATTAAGAATGCCTGGCACAATTTTCTCAGAGAGCTGGGTAAACGTTGAATCAATATCAGGTATGCTAATTCGGTGTCGTTGCATTGATTCACTTGCCATTCGCATTAAAAGGTGAACTTGTAAAAAATAATTAAGCATTAAAGACCGTGCAATAAAATCTTAAACGGAATCATTTACGATTTTATTTATATTCCACCAATTGCGATTTTATTTTTTTTTCACTAATAGCTGGAGTGAAACTAATAGGGAAAAAATAATTTCTTACGAACGGAATATTTAAAATTTTTAAATGATTTTTGGATATTGGGCTAAAATTGCTCCTCATAGTCGATGTCCAAACTTCAAAATTCTAGTGCCAATGGTCCTGGATTTATAAGAGATTCAAAATGGCGTTTCGCAACAAGGACATACAAAATACTCAGAAAACACAAAAGAAATTTGAAAAATATGTGCTGCAACCGCAAATCATTACTTGACAAATTCAACTTTTTTTTCTAGATCCTCAGGGTCCACCTTCCAGAATATCAGTGCCGCCTGGTTGGAAACCTCTTGTAAGTCTAACTTTCTATGACTCTTTACTTAACCTAATGTAAATTTGAATATCTTTTTAACTTCTTTTTTGACATTTTCCATGCAGCCACCAGCAAAACCTCCTAGGAAGTCAATCACATCCTTATCCCCTAGTGGTAAAACCCAGCATCACATAAGACAGTCATCAGTCACATATGACTCTACTTCACAAAACCCAATGATGTACGATCCATCCGACATCATGATGCCCAGGACACCACCCAGCGGTTTCGCTAACTCAGACTCAGGCAGCTTACACCATCATCACCAGCACCTAGCACAACAGCACCAACCTGCATCGCTGACTTCAGCCACCCAGCAACAGAATGTTTCTCAGCAACAGTTGTCGAACGGCAAGGTCAGCGAGACATCGCCCTTCAGTGCTCTCTACGATGAAGTGGCCAGTGGGAGGGTCACTAGTGCTACCTCCTCTCTTTTAGGTCCAAAGGCCATGCATCGCAGGCGGTTGACTGGAGAAGGTCTGAGGCCGGACAAACCCATTCCTCCGGCTAAGCCGAAGACACTTGATCTGAGGACTAAAAGACAGACTATCCAGATACCACTCAGCCCCACGCACTATCAGCAGCCACCAACACCAGACTTTCCACCACCATCACCATCAACGGCCGCTTTGGGTATCCATGAGAAAATAAGACCATTAAGTCAGGTGGGTAGTGATTTATTGCGACTACCCAGGAAAATTCTGGCTAATTTTCGATATTGCTAAACTCTTATTATGAAAGCAGAACATATATCACTCGTCGAGTATACTGTTTTTCTATATGCAGTAAAATTGTGACTTTCGGAAAGGCTCATTTAGTCTCTTTGGCCATAAAGTCATTCTAGCAACCAGATAATTCTATTTTTTATGTCCTCTCAGGGGTCGATCATTGAAGTTAATTTTCAGAAAAAAACATTCTGCAATTGGTAAAAATTTCATTTTGTTAAATTTATAACGTTTTTCTTGAAAAACATGCTGTAGTCACCCGGCTATGAATCTTTTACACTATATCCACTTATAAAAATTTATTTTATATAAAAACAAATTATAAATTTGGATATCAAGATCATAAAATATGTTTTTTAAAAAAGACAGCCTATTTTTGTAAATTGTATTTCTTAAGGAAGTTCTTAAGAAGTTTTAAATTTTAGACTAGTTAATTACATTACAGAGATATACATTTTTACCTAAACATAGTTTAATTTTAGTTCAACATATTTGAATATAATTATGTGGTCTTTAGTTTTATTTTCTAAAAATGTCATTTTTCGATATGGTACCAGATGTTTGATTATAAGCATATAAATGAAATTTTTAGCATGAGCTCCTTTTTGGTATGAGTAAAATGAGTGATTCTTTTAAAATGAGTAAATCTAGTAAAATGAGTGATTCTTTTAATGTAAGGATTTATCTCTTTTTTTACATTTTTTTCTGCAAAAACTTGTTTTTTTTCCATCATTTTCTTACTGCTTTGATGCATATATTTATCTTTTGAAGTATGGAGTTAGATTACAAAAACATAGCAAGAGTTTTTTATATGATAGCAATAAATAAATTTCATTAGACTTAGGTAGTGTAACTTTATTAGTATAGAAGCTCCTGGCATGATATAGCCAAGCAAAGAATTGATACAATAATTTTGTAAGAGACAGTTATATGTATATGTTCCTTTTCACGTTGTATACATTTGTATACAGTTAACGTTCTCTTGTATATAATTGTACACATGTTATGGTCACAGCTCCGTATAGCTTTTTGACGGTGAACCTTAGTGAAATTCATTATAGTAATGATTTTATTTTCATATTCAGATATATATTGTTTTCTTACTGAAAACGTGTGATGTTGTACATAGTTTAAAATAATTGTCTACTTTATCATCATCTACATTGAGCTTTCATACTTCCGGTGTACATTCAATACAGTGTAAAAATATTAACCAGCATTCATGTTATAGTTATTTCATTTTTATTATTTATTCATCTGCAGCTTATTATATGTTTGCATGTTATTGTGTTTTATGTTATTTTATGCATATTATTTTTATTTTATGCATGTAAAAATACAATAAAATTATTTTTACGAAATTTCGTTTTGTTTAGTTTCTTTTGTTTTGTTAACCTCCCCAATTGTTTTAAGTAAAGATTAGTTTTTAGAACTCATCCTGTTCTTGATTCCTGAATAAATTATTTTTATTTATATATAGCATGATTTTTTTTATTTTTACTTTATACCTTAAGACAGCACTTACATATCGAACATATTTCGAAATATATTACTATATTAATAGACATAAGTGTTAAAAAAACAATGGAAGTGTATTCATTTTTTTTCCTGAACCATGTGGGAAAAAATGTTTTAAATCACTGCTGTATTTTCTATGAACTAGAATTTCCACCCCTACTTTCATACAAAATTGTTTAATGTTTAACGTAAAACAGTAAACACGTTTCGTACACCTTTTTTTGTCCACGTAAAATTTATATCTATTTATTGAATGGGAAAATGTATACCTTCCTCTCCAATGACAAAAATTTCGAAAAAGTTCAGTATCTTAAGTTAATAAGCATTTTTGTAACGCTAATTAGCAGCTGTATCAAAATACACATTTTTACGAACATAAAGTACTCGTAACGGGGGTTCGCAAAAAAAGGACCTACAGGACCTACATTAGGCTTACATATCAGTATAACAGGTATCTATTACCACAATACCAAAACTACCTATTACTGCAATTATTCATCATTGGTGTCAATAATAATTTGAGGGTTTCTTTTGGCCCCTCGAATGGAGATGCACCATGGTTAGAGAAAAAATTCTAAGTAAATAGTTGAAAAAAACATATTATATATCTATTTAATAGTAAGATTACGTGCATTCCGGCTTAGAATAGATTGTACGAATAAAATTTAAAGAATCTTTTGCGGAAATTTGAGATTTATTACTAACCAAATGTAAAAAAAAAAAAAAAAATTCTTACTTAAAATATTTTCATTCATTGATCAGTACTGCTTCTCATCTTTCTGATATCATAGAAAATAGAATTTCTATTTCATAGGAATTCTATTTTTCACTCAACTTATAACAATTGAAGTACATTTTGGACAGACCTTGAGTCATCGATTTATGATTTCGCAGGAGCAATGTCTGAAGAATACGATGGGTGTGGTAGGATGGTTCATTAAATTTTTTCCAAATAGTTTTTGACTAACTTTGAAAATTTCTTTTCCTGATTCTAATTCATTTGTTGGCCCTTTTTTCCATGCTTTTTGACCTTAAGCATAATGAAATTGCTTGTACCTTAGGGTTATACAAATTGTTACGTTGAACACGAATCTTTGTTCAATATATAATGTTTCCAATTCTAGATCTTCTAACATTTCAGGATTATTTCATGTTCTTTATGCTTTATTTCAAAATCATCACTCTGAAGCCATTTAATTCATTGCTCGCAAATTAAAATTATAGATTTTTTGCATAATGTTGCATTTTCCCCAAAATGTTGTCACAATTTGAATTTCACAGTATGCAAGTTATTAACAGACTGTGTTGGAACTTAATTTTTGAAAAAAAATTGTTGCGAAAAGACTTTACAATGTACAAGGAGAACGATAAAAGTACTCAGAATGATGTTCTGGAATGTTCCGGAAAAAGTACTGGATCACCGTATAATCTTAAACGCCTTATCAGATTATGCGCACATGAGCTGTCTACTTCTCCAAAAATAAATAAATTATAAATAATATTGCCCTTCAAAACAATATTTTTTTTGTAAACCAGAGCACCCCATTCCTGCTGGCTCCAAAGTAAAGAGTTCTTTGAAACCAAATACGATCTCCGTTTTCTACCATCCCTCACCCTATTTTGGGATCGCTATCTTCATACATTTATCACTTAATGGTCATGAATTTGAAAATATATATTTAACCGTTAAATTTCTTCTGAAGTACTAGAGAGGTGAAATGTTCTAAAACACGAACAATTGTTGCAAGAAGAGAGGATTTGCGATTTTTCGTTTCGAAATTTAATTTTGATTTCAAAATTTCATTTTGAAAAAGGATTTGAATAAAAAATGAGAAAAAAATCATAAAAAAATATTGTTTTGTTTGTTTTATTTTTTCAGAACTGTTGAATGTTATTTTCTACAGTTTAAAGCTTTTAATCCTTTGCCATAAACTCAATATAATATAAATATTTGCGCAAAAGTTTGGCTATTAGGGTGACAGAGTGGAGAAATTAGGAAGTCCTTGTGCAGTGAATATTGCAAATTTTCTTGCGAGAACTAAAAGAGAAGGGGAAATATTATTTTAACCGTTAAACTTCTTCTGATCGGCTAGAGAAATTAAAAGTTCTAAAACGCGAACATTTAAATAAGGGAGGGAGATATGGGGGATTTTCTCCTTTGAACTGAAAAAAAAAAAATAAAGTGAAGGAAAAAAACTAAAAAATAACGTTTTCTATGTTCCTTTTATGGGTATTTTAATTAACTTCTACATCCTAAAGCTTCAAGCTCCTTCTTTAAGCCTAACACCCCTAAATAATAGAAATACATAATCATATTTTTTCTAAAATCGGGTGGGGGAGAAGAGTTATTTTTTCCTTAAAATTTAAAACGGTAAACTTCCTCAGAGTCTCCTCGCTACTTCCGTTCTTATCTAAGAACTTTTTTCCTCTCTGACCTTTCAGAAGAAATTTAGTGGCTGAAACAATCACTCCCCCTCCCCTTCCTTTGAAGAAGTACCGAAGTTTTTGCCTAAAAGTCATGCAAATTCTGCAACTAGGTACGAGGCTTCTTAACCTCTTCTCCTCCACCGACTTTCATCTAATGTAGTGGCAATATAGTTATTATTAATAATGAGTATTAAGGAGGGAAAGGGGGCATGAAAGTTGGAAATATGTTAAGAAATAGCAAAAATAAAAACAGAACAAGAAACAATTGTCTTTAAAATTTAAGGAAGAAACCCCACCAAACTTTCCATCCTCGATACAACTCTCTTGTTTTAATATTTTCACCTTTCCAGCACCTCATGAGAAATGTAACTTTTAGAATAATTATTTCTCCTATCTAAGTCTAATTAGTAACGATAAAATTATCCAAAAGAAATAAATATAGGGTGAGAGATAACTCTCGTAAACTGTGGGTGGGTCTGGAAAATGCAGGATTATGGATGGATTCCGAAAATAATTTTTCATAAAAATCAGTAGCCTTTTTTTTTCACTCAGAACAATGTAATTAAATGAGTCAATGATTTTCTTACAGACAATGATTAGATTCACGCCATCTTTTCGTTAATCCCTGATTAAGAAAGAAATAATTTGTTTTTGATAAAAAGAAATATTTTAAATCTCTTTACACTTACACATTTTTACACAGCATGAACATACTGTTTTAACTGAGAAATTATAAATTTTTTACAACAATTTTTTTTAAAAATAAAACTTCCAGTAATGAAAACGTACTTCCTCTGAATGAGCATGCCCTTTTTATGCCAACTGAATTTAGTTTTTACTCTCAAAAGGGGATTGCTTTACAATTCACAATGTGGGATGAAGGGTTTGCTTTATTTCTACACTTTATTCTGCTACCTGATCGCAGTTTTTTTGCACTTAAAAGATTGCTAGCATCAAAAGTAATAACGAGGAAAACAAAGCTTCAGGTTTATGAA